GGGTGCAAAGGGCCACCCCAGCCCTGCCAGTGGCTCAGGAAAGAGAAATTCTTAGGAAAATGGGAATTGTCCATCCTCATCTCCACACTGCCTGGGAAGCAGAGAAGGGATGAGTTTGCCATCTCACAGCAGGAACAAAACTTCTTATTCCAGCCCTGGGACACCGAGGGGACACTGCCCTGCCCAGAGGAAGGGCTGGAAACCCTCAGAGCTGTCCTGACACACAATGTGGGTCCCTCAGTGCTAACCACAGCACACCTTGGGGTGTGTTTCCTTAGGAGTTGGAGCTTCCCCAGCGCTCCTGAGCGAGCAGGATGCTCTGCTGTGGAACTGGGCACTTTCACAACGGGGTCAGCACAACCCTGAAGGACACAATTAATGCCAATCTCCACGGTCTGGCAGAAATAGCCCGTGTCAGGAAGTGGGAATGGCCTTTGATGAGATCACAGGTCCTGGTAATTGGAGTAACTGTGTTGATATAACAGCCTGAGACTGGAAGGCATTCGATTCATCTTGCACCACCTTTTAATGAATAATTAGCACTCAACAAAACCAGTGCACCTTCTGCTAAGTGGATTAAAACTGGTCACCTGCTGGAACTAAAATGTGGTTACATGGGGAAGTCACCACTCTGGGGCTTTCTGGGGAGGATCACATGCTTTTCAAAGCAAAACTGTGCCAGGAGGAGGAAAAAAGCACCTTCCTGGTGCAGACTGCAGAGACAGAAACGGGAGAATCAGAGCTGGGAATAGGGACAGCCTGGTAAATCAGCGTGGTGCAGCCTATATCCTTGGCTACAAGGAAAATTTAAATCTGTGCACTGAGAAACAAACCACAGAGGATCAGAACATGGCACCTGAAAAGTGCTTGGGCTTTGTGCAGCAAATCACTGATTCCCCTCTGAGCCTCAGCAGCGTGACCTCAGGGTCTGTAATCCCTGCTCCAGCATCTCTCATCCCACTGTGTTTCCTCAGCCCTGGCTCCTCAGCTCTGCCACTCACCTCAGAGTTTCCCAGTGGCATTCCAGCTGTGCTCTGTGGCTCCAAATCCTTTTCCATGGCCAGCCCAGCCCTGCCCTGTGAGCTCTCTGCAGCCCAGCACGGCTCCCTGTGCGTTCCTGCAGCACCTCCCTCCCTCTCTGAACACGCTCCGTGCCCGTGTCCATGTCCTGGGCAGCCAGGCTAACAGGGCTCTCATTGTCCACAGCACTTTTTCCACCTCTGAGGCACAAGCTGTGAGTTTGCTCCTCTCCTGCTGCCCTGCTGCTCGTTTTGCTCAATAGCTTTGCTCTGAATGGACAGCCAACCCCAGCATCTCAACCACCCTGCTGTCAGCTCCAGCCTGGGACAGTCTCCTCTTGGACCAGGGATTGTGGCACTCTGGATGTGCTTGTGGCGCTCTGGATGTGTTTGTGGCACTCTGGACGTGCTGCCCCAGGCACAGATGCTCAGCAGAACTCCACAGTGAGGGTAAAGGGCCCTGCAGGACGGGCTGGCTGGGCGTGGGAGCTGGGAAGCAGCCCAGGTCCTTGCCACTGCCCAGGAAACCTCAGGAATGTCCCAGCTGGGTGTGCTCGAGGCCCTGAGCCACATCCCAGCCTACAGCACAGCTGGTGGGGTGTCTGAGAGTACTGCAGAGTCAAAATCCCGGGGTTCTCTCCAGTCCTCAGCCTCAGCCCTGGTCTGCTGAGGCTGGCATGGGTGAGAGGACCCAGCCAGGGTCCTCTCAGGGCAGGGGACAGCCCCACATGGCAGCAGGAGCTCAAATTGCTCAAACTGCTCCCATGCCAGCCCACTGGCTCTGCTTGTCCCAGTGGGTGATGGATCAGAGGACAGTCACCCTGACAGTGACTTACAGCCAGGCACTGTCCCCATCACTGCCCTGCATCTTGCACAGGGGCTGCCCCTTCCAGGACTGTCCAAATCATGTGTGTCCTTCAGCACTCACTGGGCACACAGCAGGACATCAGTCTGCCCCACCAAAACCCCAGTGAACAGCCAGCAGAGCAGGGAAGGGGCAGCTCCTGGTGAGGCAGATCCATGGGTTTGATCAGCACAGGGCATCCCTGCACACAGGGATGACATCCCAAACCTCAGCAGCAGGGAAAGACCAGGCCATGGAGGGATGTGCTCGCCCAGCAGCAGCCTTGGACACACCCACGGGGGCCATGGAGCATCCCAGGCACTGACAACTGGGAGGACTCAGAGAAGAGCAGCACTGGGAAAGCCGCCAGCACAAGGCAGAGGAAGCTCGCTCTGTTTATCCTTCCTTGAGAAGGTTAAGGGGTGACACAGCCACTCTCTGTTGATGTCCCATGCCGGGACATCCCTGAGAGCACGGGGTCAGGAGAAGGTCTGGTGAGTCCCATGCCTTCAGGGCTCCATCCCTCCCGCTGTCCCCAGGGCCCCTCACACACACACACACACGGCCCTTTCGCAATCCCGCTTTTCCCCTTTTCCCGCTTCCCGGCAGTCCTGGAGAGCCCGGAGCAAACGTGCACAAAGCAGAGGAGCCCTGACACCCCCACCCTGCTCAGGAGGGGACCTGGCATGGGTCAGAGCTCCGGGGTCTGGAAGGGCACATGGTATCACCAACTGGTCACAGAAGCAGCCCAGGGTCACCATAGGAATCTGGATTCTCTGGCAGGATTGGTGTCACTCCGAAAAACACAACCTCCTGTGGCTGGGAGCTCACTGCCCCTCTCTGCCCACCCACCGTGTGTCCCCATCTCAGGCAAGGACAGCGACCATGCTGCAGAACGGGACAAAACAGCGTGCGGGGCTGGGGCTGCACTTCTCTGACAACCCAGGTCCAGCTCCTTTGGGCTACCTCATGTCCCCATGTCCTGCTGTCACCCCCTGTTTCAGGACAGGTCCCAGCACAGCTCGTACCCCCTCCCAGCCCCCCAGGACACAGCAGGGTCCTCAGCAGAGCTCTGCCCGGGCTCGGGAGAGGCAGCCCTGGGAGGAACCGGCTGCCGGCAGGAGGGAAAGCCCCGGGAGGAATGCGCAAACATCGCCCATCCCCAGGGGCAGAGGGGCGGGCAGGGGGCTGGGGGCAGTGGGGTTTGTGTCCCAGACACCCTAGAGCAGGGAACCAGCCATCCTGGACCTGCTGGGGATGGGACCGGCTCAGCTGCGGGCTCCTGAGAGCGGCAGGGAGGGCGAAAAGCCAGCCGAGACGAATCATCCCTTCCAGCCTCCCGCCCCACATCCCTCCATCCATCCTCTCCTTCCATGAGCTACAGCATGTCCGCTCCTCATGGAAACCCTGACACTCAGGATTTCCATGTGTAACCCGCTGCTCTGCCCGCAGCCCGCACGCTTTGGGGCGCGGTACAGCCCCAAAACCCGCCTGGC